TTTAAAATCAGGGTACTGGCAAATACAGATCGTTGAATCTGATATTTACAAAACTACTTTTAATGTTCCTATGGGACATTACGAATGGAAAGTTATGCCTTTCGGTCTAAAAAATGCTCCTTCTGAATTTCAACAAATTATAAACGACATTTTTTATCCTTATAGTAATTTCATTATTGTTTACATTGATGATATTCTTGTCTTTTCTAAAGATATTGAGAGCCATTTCAAACATTTAAATATTTTCAAAGCTCTTGTTATTCAAAATGGTTTGGTTATTTCTAAACATAAAATGTCTTTATTTAAGACCAAAATCAGGTTTTTAGGCCATGATATTGAAAAAGGTACCATCATTCTTATCCAAAGAAATCTTGAATTTGATAATAAATTTCCTGATACGATGTTAGACAGAACTCAATTACAAAGATTTTTGGGTAGCCTGAATTATATTTCAGCTTATATTAAGGATCTTAGTCGCTATACTTCTATCCTTTATGACCGTCTTAAAAAGAATTCATGTAGTTGGTATGATAGTCATACTCTAGCTGTCCAGGAAATTAAGAAAAGGGTTAAAAATCTTCCCTGTCTCATGCTTCAAAATCCCCTTTTTGAAAAAATTGTAGAAACTGATGCCTCGAACATTGGTTATGGAGGCATTTTAAAGCAAATTGATCCCCACTCTAAGCAGGAGTACCTTATTAGATTCTATTATGGTAAATGGAAAGGTGCTCAATTAAATTATTCTGTTGTCGTTAAAGAACATTTTGCTATTGTTAAATGTGTCTTAAAATTCCAAGATGATTTATATAATCAAAAGTTCTTGATAAAAACTGATTGCAGCTCTGCTCAATTTATGTTTAGCAGAGATTTTAAACATGATGTTTCTAAACAAATGTTTGCTAGATGGCAAGCTCATCTTGCTCCTTTTGATTTTTCTGTTCAACATATTAAAGGGGTTGATAACCACCTTCCTGATTTCTTAACCCGTGAATATTTATCATGATTTCAGGAATGAGCTCGAACTATAGCTCCTATTCCTCTTATAGGGGAAGTGGAAGTTCTTCAGGAAGAGGAAGAGGTGGTCGAAATTTCTCTAATAGAGGAAGAGGAAGCAGCAATGTCATTGCCCAAATGGGAAAACAAAAGCTTATAGCTTCTGATCTATCTTAGGATAAAGATGTAAAAGGCTTTGTGGATAATATCCCTAAAGACCATCCCTTAGCGGAAGCATAACTTAACTATATTAAGGAAAAAAAAAGGCAGAATCCTCTTCTGCAGCAGCCAGTTCCTATGCTAATATCAGCAAGGAAGACTCTTCGAATTCTCAATTCCATGAGTCAAAATTCAAAGAAGTTATACTTCTTATCGAAGAAAAAGATCTTCAATGGAAAGATAATCCAGACTTTCTTCTAGAAAGATATTTTAATAAGACATCTTTTGTTCATGGTTCTTTAAAACGAAGACAATATTATGAAGGTCTTTTACTTTCTACAAAATATGTAGAAATTACTCATCATACTTCAAATAACAGAGACGAGGCCCATGTCAATTTTAGTTTTTCGAAACTTGTGATCAAAAAGATTATATCTTTTGAAGAATGGGGATTTACTCATATTGCTGAGAATGAATGGTTTTCTCCAGCCCATAAGCATAATTTCAAGTTCAACTACTGGGATTATATCCAGAGTTTTTCTAATGTATTGCTTTACGAAAATGAGAACAAAAGACATTATTGGTTCTTAAAAATTTGTGAAAACTGTTTTCATACTCCAATTCCTAATTGGTTTTATTTATGGTGGAGAAATTTTGGAACCATTTCTGATATTTTCCCAGAACATATGAAAAATCATATCAAAAATTGGATGTTATATTCTCCAACAGTTAATAACAGTAAAAGTCTTTATAACATTGAAGGAAGCAATATTTGCTTATTCTTTGTAGAATTTGGTGTTCCATGTATTTGGAGATGGAAACCGATTTTTAGTTATAATGATATGATGATTCCTTGTATCAAAAGGCATGGTCTTACAAAATACTGGGACAAATTGGATTGCATTTGTCCAGGTTCCACTCTCATAGAGAGATCAGATCTCTACGATACCATTGAGAAGAAAATCCAGAATTATAAAAAGGATTCCGATCTACAGAAGCAAGCAAAGGAGGGCTCAGACATTCCAAGTCCTTTCCAACAGATCTCTCAGAAATATGTAGGGACTCTTTCCAAAGATGAGATCATCGATCTTTATATTGAAAATATGAAGAAAGATATTTATGAGAATATAGGACCCTGTCCTTCGAGATCAGACGTTTCGATGAATTCTGATCTTCAGCAAGATGCCCAGAGTAGAGAAGGTTCAGAGGAAATTTCCCTTTCTCTAGAAGAAGCTCTAGAGACCTTGAAAGATTCGATAAAGCAGGGAAAATAATTTCTTTTGTCCTTATTTTGACAATTGTGTAACATTGTCAAAAAGAGACTTTTATAAAGCCTTGTTTTTCGGCTTTTATAAAGCATGCTTTTTCTTTACGACTTTTTATAAAAGTTTTTTATCGTTTAACACAGCTGTTATACAAATGTTTTCTCTTTTTGCTTTCCTAGTTGCTATTTAAAGACATGCCTGTCTCTCTTATTTCATAGAGTTTTCATAGTTCAGTTTAAAATTTTCTATCTTCTCTCGTTTGTAATGGTATCAAGCTTAAGTTTTTGAATAAAAAGAAGCAAGCCGACTGGTTCGGGCTTTTTGTAAGTTTCTTAATCCCATACTTACCTATTTTTGTATTTTCAGTTTATAATGTCAGGCTAAGTTACGATTATGAGTTAAAACATGTTTTTGAGTTTGATATACTTACAGATTTACATGGAATGTTTTATATATTTCAATTTTTAGTAAGATATTAAACTATTTATTGAAAGAGTAAATTTATCTCTAAAAACACCTCTGAGACTGATCGTCACCCGTTTAAGCCAAGAGAGCTGTTAGGGTTTTAAGATCTTGGTTTGAGGTTTGAGGCTAGGTTTACTCTCAGATAAAAGGTTTAACACTTTCTTTTATGATTCTGGAGCATAGATGTGATTCGATAAAGCAGGGAAAATAATTTCTTTTGTCCTTATTCTGACAATTGTGTAACATTGTCAAAAAGAGGCTTTTATAAAGCCTTGTTTTTTGGCTTTTATAAAGCATGTTTTTTCTTTACGACTTTTTATAAAAGTTAATCCCATCCTTACCTATTTTTGTATTTTCAGTTTATAATGTCAGGCGTCTTTAACCAGGAATATTCCCAGGAATTCCATTATTCAGAGTGATTTTAGCAATATCATTCAGATATCCCAGAAATGGTTTACTAAAATTATAGGGGGTTGATATTGCCACCCCCTGGCAACACTTTCTACCCCCCTGCAATATGTCCCCCTCCTCACAATCGTTTCTCACACTCACACCATCTTCCTACTCACACACTCACACAATTTTAATTTTAATTAATTTTAAAAATTTAAATTTACACTTTATACCCTTATAATTAGTTAATTAATTTACTTTATACCCTTTTCTTTTAAAATTTTCATTTTATACCCTGATCAAATTAACATACATAATCGTATATCAATTAAAATATGTTTAAAAAATACGTTTTAATTTTAACAAGTTACACCATTATAATCGTCACGT